AAAAAAGACATGAAGCAAGAGAAGATGGGCACTGCTGTAAAAGACGACAAACCTGCTTTTGGGAGTGTCTTACCAGATGATTTTGCCAAGAAAGAGAAACTAAAAATGGTTAGTGACAAACCAAAGATTGAGTTACACACGGAACCTTTCAAGCCCGTCGAACCGCAGATGAGGATCAATGTAGATGTGAATACCGCTGCTGCTATTCTTGAAGCTGCCAGAAGAGGCATAAGGAATCCCCAGTTAGGGATTCTATCAGGCAAACCCTTGGATGAGACTTCTCAGAGCCTTGGAAATGATGGAAGTAATACTTCATCCAAGTCCTCTGATTTGGCCAAATCTACGGGTCAACTGATTTCTGGCTCGGCTGCTGCTAGTGAAGCTGATTCTTCTGAAGCAGGCTTGTCTAAGGAGCAGAAGTTGAAGGCAGAAAGATTGAAACGTGCAAAAATGTTTATGGCCATGTTAAAACCCGGTGCCCAGTCAGCGCAACAAGCTGAACCATTGCGAAGCTTATCGGTCGAACCGTTGGACTCTGGGATTTCTAGATTGGGTTCTAATGCTGCAAAAGAAAGAGAAGGTAGCTCAATTCCATCTGAAGCTGAAACAAAACAAGCAGATGATGGTAACAGTGAAAAACGATCAAAGAGGAATTACCGTTCCAGATCACAGAGAGATGGAGATTATGAGATGGAGGAAGATGATGAAGAGAGCAGCATGGAGGAAGGTACAGAAGAAACCAAGACTGAGAAGAAGCATTCAAGTAAAAAACAGCATGATAGGCATAAGCATATGACACGGCATTCTTCCAAGGACAGACATTCTCGGGACAAGCACAAGCATGAGAGCTCCTCAGACGATGAGTATCACAGTCTTTCGCGTCATAGGCACAAACACAGAAAATCTTCGGATAGGCGTGAGCTATATGATTCTTCTGACAATGAGCGTGAGCACCGACACAGATCTAATAAGCATAGCAAAGATGTTGGTTATTCTAAGGACAAGCGTAGCCATCATCACAGATCCAGGAAGCACGATAAGCATTTTGATTCATCTGATGATGAGCATCACCGTCACCACCGACACAGATCCAGTAGACGCAAGCACGAGGACTCTTCAGACAGTGAGCCTGGTCATCGACACAAGTCTGGTAAACGTATGAAGAAAGATAAGAAAACAGAGGAAGAGGAGACTGTTTCAAAGACCGATCTTAAAGCTGCTCCTGAAGATAGCATCATCTCGAACCCGCAAAACGAACCAACTCAAGTGTCGGATGAGCTAAGAGCCAAAATCCGTGCCATGTTAGCTGATACCTTGTAAGTTCGTTTTAATTCAACAATTCTCAGTAAGACTAGTAGTTCCATTTCGGTATCTACTCGTACCGGGTTGACAATGTCGATAGGGTCTGAATAGATTATCGGGTTTGCTTGGATCTCAGGTGAAATGGTCGGTGAGAGCCTAAAGCATAAAGGTGGTTAAAGCCATGCCTTTTGTGACTCTCTCGAAGCTTGGAAGTAGGGATGAAGTTAAGAGTGAGTTTCACTTTTGTTGACGTAAGAAAGAAATTCTTGTCAATGTCATAGTGCATTACTTTGAAGCATTCCCTTATTGGACGGACCTTACTTAGCCTCTCTTCTCGATTGAAAAAAGCAATATTAGTAAAACCTCCTTTTCCGGTTCGAATCTCTCTTTTTTAAAAAACCTTTTATATATTTTGTCTTCTTGAAATTTCATTGGCTAATAATGCTACCCTTTTCTTTTTATATTGTAAACTCTCTTTGTATCTATTTACTGAAAATCTCAACCCATAGTTCTCAACTTCTTTGTAGTGCTAAAGAATCTTTGAATTATGCGTTTACCTTCAAACTGGTATCAAAAACGTTTAAAATATCTTGGATCGTTTGATTGGATCCGTTGGTGCAAATAGTGTTTCATTTTGCATAATTTTTTAGCACGCAAAAAGTTGAGATATATAGTGGATGTATTGCGAAAGCCAAAAAAAAAATATAATAGGCTGAAACAAATGACACTTACAAGAAAAATATCAAATTTTGCTAAATTTTTTATAATAATAAACTGTTAACACGATGCTAGTCTACTGTTCGGTTAATTTATAACTAACGTATTAAAAAGTGTTTTCTTGAAATCTCTCTTTTTTCCCCTTTTTACGTTTCCAAGAAAATTGCAACGGAAATAACATGTAACCAAACTAATCATAGAAGTGGAATTAGCAGAGAATATGTAAGAGAATTAAAAAAAAAAAACAAAGGAACGTCTCTATTCAAGAAACCTTACTAAAAACGTTATATATTAAAACGCATAGCGTGATTTTACTTGCCACTTTTCACTTCACGCTTTCGAAACCTTTTCGTTAGATCCCAGTCACATGTTTGAAGCCGCGTTTGTTTTAACCGTCCATTCCCCAAAAGCCAAAAAAACAAAAACAAATCCCAATTATTAGATTCAAATATTTTAATTTCAATCCAGAAATTTTAAATAAATAAAACGATCTGAATCCAACTGTATTCTTTAAGCAAAGTAGAGATGCGAATAAATTTTCCCAACACCTTCTTCTTTCTTTTTTTGTTTCCTTACCTTTTTTTATAGAATCTTCTTACATAACCCAGCTTGCATTCCAATTAAAGACATTTCACATAATAAAGCTCCACATTCACATTTCAGTGTTTTCACACCATTCATCTTTACAGCACCAATTAAACTTTTGTATATATTTAAATGGATTTTGGTGGAACAAATTAATGTGCTCGATGCAGTACATTAATACTCAATGTGGTTACTACATAACAAATTGTGATGAATGGTTCTATAGACATTGTTACACGAGACTGTTCTACATATATGATACTGAAATATCTGATAAATTTTAGTACATATTTGGTTTGCAAAAATAATTTACATTCTATAAACATTAAACCATTGATCAACTAGAATTTACATATCTAGATCATTTTCCACCAAATAAAAATAAAACTTTCATGTCAAAACAATCTAAGTTCCAAATTCAACAAAAAAAACGCAAATAAAAAGAAGAGAGTGCTTCCTGAGCTAATTAAGAGAACATAATTTAGAAAATAAAATAAAATTGGAAATTACTCTTTTCGTGAATTAATACTAGTTAGAAGAAAATAATTCTATCATATAAGTTGCAATTTTATGATTAGGTATCAAAATCTAGAAGGAATTGAGCCATGGACATACTCTTTAACTAAAACATTTTAACAATAGATTAATCCCCACGCTAATCCCGCACTTAGCTTGTGATTCCGCCACGTGGCCTCATCTTTAACTTCTTTTTATTTTCTTTTCTCCTTATTGGTGGATTGAAGTTACGGCGCCGTCCACTCTGGCCTCATGCCGTCAAAGCTGTCATCATCCAATCTAATTAAGCCACGTGTATAGATTCACACTTGACGCATCCCCAAGTTGCTCTGCCACACAAAATGTTTGAGAAATAAATAAAACTGACACAAAAAGTAAGAGCTCTACCAAATTTGTATTTTCTTTAAAAAAAATTATCATGTATTTGTACATTATATACATATACACATAATATATTGGTGATAATAAATATAATACTCCTATTAAAAAAGAATACATTATATTTTTTGGGCTATGTTTCAACAATTTTTTGGTTTGTTTAGTTATATATTTTAAAATTATAAGAAGAATGATATCAATGGTTTTTTAAAAAAAATTAATGATATCAATAGTTTAGTTAAATTATTTGGATATATCGTATTCACCTATAAAAAAATTTTACCATATAAAAACGAATACATATATTCAATCAAATATGATTCGATCAACCAATTTAAGCATACTTTTTTATTTGATTAGATATGGATTTAAAGTACAACATTACATTTGAAAAAAATTACTTATATTTTATGAATCCGCCATAAATAGTAGTTCACAAATAGTGTTTGAAAAATACTAGAATGTTATTAAAGAGCACTTAAGTATAATCTAATAAGCAAAAAAATGTCACAATTCAGTTGAAATAGAGTGTTTTTGTTATTCCTTTGGTCACATATCTTAACCAAGGATCTTGTTTTTTTTTTTTATTTTGTTACGTTACATATATAGTACCATATATATCAAACTTAACAGTCGTAAGTTCTTATCACAAAATTTACACAAGCAAAAAAGTTATGCTTAATACTTGATTGGTATACCCGATTAATACTTGATTGGAACTTTGATGGGGAATTATCCATTTTAAAAATATTTTTCATTTGGACTTTTGTGCTTGAATTATGTGTCATTCTGTACCAACCAACTTAACATTTCTACATTACTTTTCTTTGACGTGAAAATAAATAACCAATGATCTCTTACCAATTGAGTAAATGTAATAAAATTACTTTTATTACGAATTTATATTATTTAATGTTTTTTTTGAAGAATCGCTTGTATGATATTATTAGCTTCTTATAGATGTTTGTGGTTTAGATCTCTAAAGAATCGCTTGTATGAATATACAATGCATGCTAATATACATTCAAGAACATGATTAAGTCATGGTTCTTTAATTTTTAATGGAAGAACTTAATGATCAAGTCATATTTTGATTCTAATCTTTTTTTAACGACTCGCATTTTGAATTCGAACTTAAACGGCTGTATTAGATCTAAGAAAACAATAATCTAAAATTAAATTAAAGTGGAAGATAAGGTAAAGTTTTGGTGCTTAAATAATTGGAGGAGTAGAAAAAGATTAGAATAATTTTTTTAAAGAATGTCATCTCTGTTCGGACTTTGTATTAAGACACCAAAACCCCATGCCAAAGTCATAT